CAGCAGCAAACAGCAGCAGAACGGCAGCAACAACAGCACCCTTTACACCAAGCCACCGTTTACACCCAACCAGCCACGTTCAACCAACCCCCTACACGGCGCAGCTGGGAGTTAAACCGCGGGGGGGGGGATGAGGCGATTAGCTTAATATATCAATCTTTAAGGCACGCAACCCCTCCCACCACAACATTGCTAAAACAAAGAAGAATTCAATTAGCATGCTAGCTTTCCTAATTATTCCCACATCTCTTTATATTTATTCAATTCATTCGCCCATATCATTTCCATATTAATCAATCGGTTTGCTTTTCATAATATATATATATACCCAAAATAAACTATTTTTACATGCTATATTCATATTTATTCCTATCAATCATAAATAGAGCAAATCAATATAAATAAATTTCAACATATATTATATACAAAACAAAAAAATCTTTCATCCAATCTTAAAATAATTCAAAAATACGAATATATATTCGATCAACAACATTTCAAAATACTAAAAATATATACTTCAATTTTTTTCAATCATATAATCGATACATAATTTAATATATTTAACAATTACTAAAAATATTAGTAAATACGAATATATAAATATATTCCTTTTATCGTTATTAAATTTATAATTAACCTCAAATTTATACAACCACCATGATATCTATACAATAATTCTACCGAACAATTACATTATTTATATATTCTTTATCAACCAATTAAATACATATATATATATATAACAAAAAATCATAAAAACATCTATCTTTCATAACTATTTTAATCGCATCTAAAATTTATTTTAAACTTCATTGTTCCAATATTTTTATTTCAACATCGATCAATTAAAACCTATAAAAACAAAAATTTGTTAAAGAAATATGAATATAACTAAACATAAATCAAATTAAACATATTAAAAAAATACAATTCTTAGAATAGTTTAATGTTAGTACAGCATATCAATAAAATAAAATAATCAATTAGATTATCTATTATATTTAATTCCTTATGTTTAATTATGCATAAACGCAATTAATTGGTATGAGTCCATCCGAGATGGAATTGATCCCTCTCGGTGACAGCAACCTACTGCATTATATACAAAATAACTTTGAATTCATGAACAGGCGAATTCACTTTGGTCCGCAACATCACCTTGGAGGCAGAACTGCTCTACAGCATCTGCGCTCATGGCTGCCCTGTCTAAAGCCCACCTTAAGAAATTACCTAGGCTTTGCACCACCGTCTGGCACCGCTCGGACTTGCTCGGCCCATGTCCTCAGGTCCCAGGCGAGACATGTTGAATTCTCCAGATGAGAACGCAGTCTTGGATCCTGGATTCAAGATCTCAATCCCGAAGAAACGAGATTTAGATGAGATTTGACCATTTTGTCCATCCTGGAGATCCAATCTTGGATCTCAAGAAACTGCCAGGTGAAGGCCACTCGACGGCCGGGACTGCTGGTGATGGAAGCCAACTCAGCTTGCAGCTATCAAGTATCTGAGGAAGGCATCATCTGCTGCAGCGGATGGATCAGCAGCTGGCAGGCTTTAGGGTGGCGAAGAGATTGGCTTTCTGGTTTGTTCAAAAGAGTGAGATTGGGCTGCAGTCCAGCCTCATCTCTTTATAAAAAAGAATTGCATTTTTGAATCTTGAACCTCAAGTCAACAGCCTCCCAAAAAAAATGAACACAGCATACCCCAACCAAAGAGATGTCCTCCGAACTGGTGCCGTTTTGTACCCAGCACATCCACGCCTAAGTGACCCGCGCTTCGCATTGGTGGCGGAGGGCTTGGTGATCTTAGTGCTTGGTTCTTGCAGGCCTCGCAGCGAGGAACGGACGGACTTTCACCAAGTCTTCGCAAGGGCTCCACCAACTGACAACTGTACGGGATACCCAAATCTGACTCGAATTGGCTGCCAAACTTTCACGGAGTTCTCCTGTGTAACAGCACGATTTGGAAGGGTGCGCTCGTCGGTATCGCTATTCAATCAGGTTGAAGGATTCTCTCTCACTGGATGCTGCAACTGCATGCTGGAAAGATCTGGAAAGTGTTCAAATGGTTGAAGACTTCAGAACGTTTTACAGCACGATGCATTTGCGAGTTCCAAAATAACGTCTGGTCCGACCAGCATCGGTCGTGGTAGAAACAACATCGCTCGTTCCGACTGGCGTGCTCCTCGGGATGGACGTGCTGGTCGGAGCCTGTCGTGATGTGAAAAGCAGATCAGCTTTCGATCAAGGTGGGGAAGGCACATAGAGACTTAAAGATCTTCATAGAGACTTTCTACATCCACAACACTCTATTCCTTTTTGACATATATTGATAATATTTTGCCTTGGGGATCCTTGGGGAAGGCCATCTCCTCTCCGGACATCCCCAGCCGTGGATCACAGCGATTTGTAAGTAGAACGTGACTCGGAAGATGTAGAACCGTAGAACCGCCTTGTCAGGACACCCTTTAGGAACCCCCTTCCTTAAAAGCAACCTGAGCAACTCTAAATAATATAGATAGAACACACTTAACTGAGCGTTCATTTAACGGGCATCGAACCTGACAGCTGTGAAGGCGCAAACGGAGCGATGCATCCGAGCGGCGCTGGAAAGACTGATAGCCAGAGAGTTCATCTGGATTGTGGGCAAACCTCAGATGTGGATATAGAATGATCAAACAACTGAAGCACTTTGTAAAATGTTCATGCTTGCGCGTGGATCTAGCATTGTCCCACAAAACAACATTATCCTTCCTTCAAAAAACTTGCCAAGCAAGTATCAGCGTTAATGATGTAGACAGGTGCCCTAACAAGCTAAAACATAGCTGGTGATACACGCGTTGGCCAAATTTGCCAGGTCTTCTGTCAGCTCAGGCTTCTGCGGACAGTTCAGCTCCATGTCGCACCTTCCAGCCTGGACTGCGGATTTGGCAACAAGAACATCTTCACCACCGCAACGACGTGCTCAACGACGATGTCCAAACTGACTCACCCTCACGGGTTCAGAGGACTGAGACAAAGATATTCTTGGGATATGGTATATGCCTCATCTCTCCAACATGGCTTTCACTCGGACTTTACTAGTCCACACACTTCTCTTCATCTGCATCCAGCCAAAACACACACACACACACACATGCGCGCGCGGACACCGGTACACATCGGGGGGCCTCTAAAAAGTCGATACACATCTGCGTCTTCCCAGGCAATTGGCCTCTGTGAAAACGGCACTGCCAGGGGTGGTAGACATTGGAGGTCGATCTTAAGAGTCTCAGGGCTCTGACTTTTGGGAGGAAGACTCCAAAAACATCCCAAGGTGTCTCTTCAGTTTCCTGTCTGTTCTTCAGGCCACTCGGTTGATTTGAAGTTCAGTCCTGCGTCTGGGGGCCGAATCTCACCAGCGTTCACCAAAAGGCGCATCAAAGCCGCATCCTCAGAGTTTCGGAGAAACGTGATAGCCAGCGGCCGGTGGAAAAAAAACACGGCTGCCGTAGAAGTCGTTCTGCAAAAATGCTAGTGTTCTATCAGATCATAGGACTTCCAACATGAGACTACCCCAAAGCGTGGCTGGTGCGGAACTCTTTGAAGGCCACATAGCCTGCCTCTCCGGTCTGCTTCTTGCAAACTCGCCAACTGCCGAACACCCAGCGAAAATAGGGCAAAGCACCAGCAATACATGTAAAGGGGACATGGCTAAGAGCTGCCAAGCCAGAATCAGGGCCATCCTTCAAAGGGAGCATGCCAACGGACTGCAGGAACTCCTTCCTTCAGATTGACATACGCGGTCTCCAAGCCATGCGCTAACTGCAACGGAGTCTGCGAGACTATCCATCGCAGCGTCCGTGAGCGACAGAGTCCTCTCGTCCTCAGGTCGTGCAAGGATGTGACTAATCTGGACACTCTTTAATGGGCTTTAATGGGAACCGTGTATTGCATGTCGCAGCTATATGAATCAATCGTTCTCCACATCATAGCTGAGAATGCAAGCGCTCTTCCCTGCCAAATGTGCCAAAGGGCCCCTGAGGCGGTCGATCTCAACGACACTGCCGCACAAGTCCGATTTTTCTTGTGCTTGGAGGATGGAAGTGGTGCCCACATGCCTCCATGAGTGAGCAAGTGTAAAATCTCTCCGGCTCCAACGCGAAGTGCGGGCTGAAAAAGCTGGAAAAGGAGAATCTGCACATCAAGCTGGGCAAAAATGGCCAAATCCACCGAGTCCAACGGCATTCGAAGCACAAAAGCGCCTTTGAGGCTGCCAGGCACAACCGGGAGGCTTGGTGTCCTGGACATGTCGATGGACGGAAAGGGGCCCGTGCATTGCCAGCCCATCTTCCACGAAGACCTGGCCACCAGGATGGTCTCCCACTGCCGTGATGTGGCTTGTGGGCACGTTGTTCCCAGCAGGATGAGGCTGCGTTGTCTTGTGGTAGTTCACTTGGATGGTTGTGAAGTGAGCCATCTCAGCCTTACCCATGAAGGAAAGAACAATCAGTTTCTGTGATGTTCTTCAAAGTACAGTATCGAACAATGAATGTTTTTTCGTGGCTTCTTCGAACCTGCCGTGTCGAGAGCTTTCGATGCAGGCGGGTCCCCGGCGGGTCGCTTCTGCGGGTCTGCGTGGAGCTTTCGATGGGGAGATAGGATGGAAGGGACGGGTGTCAAGGGACAGAGAGTCCTATTTGATGTGCTCAATTTGGATTGCCGATGCAAATTTGTCGACACATGATCCGCCATCGAGCTGAGCTGCTTCACCAATGTCTTGCGCGTCTGATATGCTCTGAGACTGCACAGCAGTCGCACTCTGGACAGGGTGAGCATCCTGGTCATGCTACACAATGCTTGCATTTTGAGCAACAGCTTGGCCGCCTTTGTTGTCTGGACCCATTTCTGGCACAAAGCAGTGAAGCCATCGGTCTCCGACTCCGGGTCCACCTGTGCTAAATGCTCCTCCAGACTTCGAACGCTTTTTAGGTGCTTCTTCGCGGGAAGTTGGGGAAGGCTTCCTCAAAGGCGCTGCGGAGTAGCGCAGCAGCACTTACACCATCTTCAGTCCTTGGATGGATGCTCTGGGGGTTGCAAGTGGGGCAAACAGGATTTCCCTTCTCTGAACAAAAGACATCCAGCAAAGTGAGTGGAGTGAACAAGTCTCTTCCAGGACTCTTCCCCCTATGATTCTATGATCTACACTGGGCATCCTCCATGATCAGTAAAGTCAAGCAAGCACACGGACATGACCCAAATACCCCAGGAGTGACTACTACAGCATCTTCATTATTGGCTGCTTTCCAAGCAGCCCTCGGCCTGCTTCTTGCGTCTTTTCACTTCGACCTGCGCCGCACATAGGCAAAAAAAGAGCCCAAAGGCACAGCCATGGTGGATGTTGTGTGTGTGTGTTTTTAAAGCCATGTTGTGATGAGCCATGATTCTGGTTCAATTGGATTCAACAAAAGATCACCGATCCTCCGCCTCTTCGGACGATCGCGCGCGGCGCCTCGTGGGAAGTGCGGGAAGGCTTCTTCAAAGGCGCTGCGCAGGAGATCAGCTGCACTGGGCCACTTGACATCTTCAGTCCTTGCACAATTCGACGTCATTGCATCGATATCTGACTGATTTCAACACTGACACAGTCTGTCAACTTTGGAGCGTGGAACTTCTCTGAAGCGCATTGAAGCATCGTGTGCCCGGTGCCCAGTTGTCCCCAGTCGTCGAAACTGGCCCAGTCGTCTAGTCCGTGCCGCCGAAGCCACTTTGCGGCTGGCTTGCTAGTCCGTGCCTAGAACGCACGAGGTGAAGAACGACATCATTGCTATACGACATGAAAGAACACTTAATCAGACATGGTCCGCATGTGCTCCAACTGTGTGAATGTACATTTCCAAATAGGCTTACTCTTGGAAGCCTATAATAGGCTTACTCTTCTCTCATCCCTCAGAGTTGCTCATCTGTCCAAGTCGCGAGCGCTCCAAGGGACCGGCTCCTTGGATCACCCGAGCGGGGCCCGGAGGCTCGGTGGTCCGGCCATCACGGACGGTTTCGTTGAAAGCGCCAGAGAAACAACAGGAAACGGTTTGAACCGCCCAAGGACGCCAAACCTATGGGATTCCTCTAATATATAGATATGATATCATATTCTGAAGCTGGCCCAGCCGCTGTCGACCAGTTTTGAGAGTTGAATGATGCTGAGTTGTTGAGTCGTGAAGGACAATTCAACCTCCACTGGTGAAGTGAAACGTGTATTCCCATCGAGGTTTCCCAGTCGAGTGATGTTTGAGTCATTTCCATTCATTTCCCAATTTGTTCCCAGCTTCAGAGTATTCTTTGAAGCCTCTTTGTGCTTACGGCCACCCACGTGCGTCTCCACAGTCGTGAGGTCCTGCAGCACTCAGTGGAAAACTTGGCACAAATGCGAAAGCGTTCTGCAGAAACAGAAGGATCACGTGGGTGTGTGTTTTAATAGGGAGACCACTGGCCCTGGCTGGACAGACTGGTTTCCAGAACCAAACCTAGCGGGTCGGGACTCCTGGGAGGTCTTCCGGAATACACACTCGTCACTCGTTCATGCTCTATACCTGGAGGGCGACCTGGAGTCGACCTCTAGTAGCGATGCCAGGAGCCCCGAACGTAGCGTCCGATGCGCTCGTTCGTAGTAAGGCCAGGAGCCCCGTTCGTAGCTCGGTCTACTGCCGAGAGGCATGAAATGGGCCAACGGAGCAAATGCTGCAAAAGTAGAGTCCAAAGCGATTGGAAGAGCAAAAGTCAGAGACGACGATGCCTGCGCCCAAGGCTTCCGAGCCACGAGATTTGTACTTCACGGAAGGAGTAAGGAAGTGAATGCTGCTGGCCACGCACACACACAAACACACACACACACACACATCCAAGTCTTTTCTATGTTGATACAATATGTTGAAATATATTTTGCGTACCAATATTATATAGTTACGTTCTATATATATATATATATACTGTTCTATATATCCATTTCATTCCATTTCCACATCAAAGATCCTAGGACGGTTGAGAAACAGGAACAATCCACAGGAATGCCATCACTGAGCTTCCAAACTGGACCCAACACCCACGACCTCCGCGATGTGCCGCCCGCCTTCCTGTTGCAATTCAGGGCTCAAGGAGAGCTTGGCCTCCACCGGTTCCTTGGGGGCACGTCGAACGGCACATCTGGATTCCGCATCCGTTTTTTCACGGCGCTGTCAAACCGGAGCAAACGTGCCACTCCACTCCTACAGGACCAAGTGGCAGGTGGCTTCGCCTTCTTCTGATGCTTCTTGCCCTGCCGGACTTGCGTCGCGTTTCGTTTCGGCGACGATACGGTAGTGTGTGGCAGACTTGGCAGTGGTGCGAGCCGCAAGGAGCTCGAAGCAGCGAACCGGCGACCTTTCATTTATATTCATCACGGTTTAGAAAGAAGATGGACACATCCAAAAACCCATGGGTGCTGCTTTGGGATCGGTTCAGGTTTCTATCTACTCCAGGATGGTAGATGACCCGCCTGGACATGTGATTCCATCTGCTCCTTGGCTGTCAGCTGAGACCAAAGAAACACTTCCATCGGCTATGAAGGCCATGGAGCAGGGACCCCTTAGGTCTTGACACCCAATGAGTGCAGCTCTTACTCTTCAAGTCAGCCTTTGATACCTCAAAACAGCTGGAACAACCTGGTGGTCTCAAACCAATGGATGTCCAGATTTGGAGAAACAGAAGCAATGATTCTCACGCATGAAACTGGTGAGGAGGTTCTGCCACTTTGGAGATCTGCCCGTCATGAAGTTCAAATTGAGATCCAGTACCCACCACATTTAAACATCCAACAAAAGCAACCGCTGCTGACTGTATGAACATTGTAGCCACATTAGCCCCCATCTATTGACATTGTTGCCCCAAACCTTGCAATTTTTGACAACACCCTGGACAGCCTGGACCTGAAGGGGAATCCGCTGATTCGTTGGCATTTAACTCACAAAACTTTGACCATTTCCGTTGCAAATGGATGCAACTTCTGGTCTCGTCCTTCGCGACTTCAATCCATCCTGACCAAACATACGTGTTTCGTGGACTCTACAAAGGGGATGTTCTACACTGACCCGTGAGGATGGCACAGTCCTACACTCCTAACACTCTTGATGCCTACACTCTCCTAAGGGGCTGTCCTACACCCTCACTTTGACTCATCGAAGTGGATAGCACAGCCCCTTGGAAGACGACTTTCCTTGACGAACGGGGGGTTCCACTATTGGTTTTCGTCAGAGTGTATGTATAATGTATATGTCCATACGTATCTCCATCTCATTCCCATCTGCAGGTGCAGGTGCTCTGGATCCATACGATGCTGGCACGAAGCACTCGTCCGAACCCCCGCCACGGCCGAGGCTCGGTGCTCCCCACCGGCCCTGCTTCACATAGGTCGCAGTAGAGACCGTCGTGACGCCGGCGAATTCCTCCGCCCAGCCCGGTGCAAAGGAAGCATGGAGTGTCTTAGACGCCAAGGCATTGAAAGAATTGGGGAAAGGCATAGCAATAGCGTGACACCCCACATGTTCTCTGGAAACGAAGAAAAATGTTCTTTCTTGCTGGTTGGCCAAGGCAGAAATTCCGGTTTCCATGGCCTCTGCTTCAACTGTTCACTCCAGTCCACGATGGCTTTGGGCCTTTCGTTTTAACCAACTTCTATTTTGCGGAACCACACGGTGTGAAAGCAAACTGCTAGCTTCATTGTCGTCAACGTCTATTCTCTATGTGTTCTCTAGAGTTCGGTATGTATCGGCAAGCCAAGCAGTAGCCCATATGCTGACGATGATTTCTTGGATTCGACAATCGTCCAAGTCTTCGGACCAATTCGCCGCGCTCCAGATAGATCAAATTGCGCCTTTTTTTTGTACAAGCAAAACATACCGGCATCTCAGTTCTCTCAATCCCGGGTCCCACCTAAGACGGGAAACCATGAAAAACCACCGCTTCATAACAGTTCCACCGCTTCATTTGTGCATGCCATTGACTATGCATTGCAATACGTCCTACTTCATCTGACAACGGTGGTCCCTGTCCTTGTGCTTCCCACCCATCCTGACCGCGTGAAACAACATGACATCATCATGAGTGGCCAGAACTTGCCGGGCGAAACCATCGCCATGCTTGCTCAATTGAGTTTAAACTGCTTGACTCTGCTGGACATCTGCCTGCATGGAACCTCTTGTGCTGCCCGTGTCGAAGCAACAGCGAATGTCTGCTGCCTCAAATGAAACCACCTCTTACTGCGTTTTAACAAAGGTTTGACATATCCCGCTTGCACATCGCTCACATGCATAACAGATTGTACATCCGCTCGCTTTCTCTCTCTCTCTCTATATAGGCTTTCAGCCTTCAGCGCCCGTGTCCATTGCTCACGACAATCGGAAACAGCCTTCATCGCCATGATGCCTGTTGAGATCTGCTCCTCCAAGATAGGGATGACGTGCAAGTGTTCCCAGAGCTGATAGAGCAAAGACCTGAGAACGTTCAACGATTCTACCGACAAACTGTGGTGGCTCTGCTGCCAAATGACAATAGACTAATAATAGATGATTGTAGTTGTACCCTAGACAGTGCGGGATGATGGACCTTGATGATCCTTAAGGATCATCTCAAAGGAGAAACACACATGTTTCTGACGTGATTACAGTAAGCTGAGATGGCTGAAGTGACTGGGAGCAGGGTGCCTGATTCGGATAGGTACATTGATGGTCCATGCAGCAGCGAACCCCCAACGGGCCCTGCACATAAATGAAATGGATTATTCATTTGTTTACCCCCTGCAAGCACTCAGGTCCAACTGATGAGTTTGGAAGTGTATTCCTGTACATTGTGTGGGGGAACAGTGCCTGCGCCTGTCCCATTGCAAACCAGTGGTTTCTGAACCAAACTTGTAACTTCAACATGTCGATTGTTCTCACATGCAAGACGTAGTGCCTCTCAATTGGCCTCCTCAGGTGCGCAGAAGAACAAGAGCACCAACTGCGGACTTGGTACAATAGTTGTCTCACAGGCATATCATCCTGTAGCTTGCCCATCTCTTCAAGAGTCTTGTTCGAAATCTTGAAAGTACAATACTAGCAAACCTCCCCCTTCTTCAAATCTCAAGCAGATTCTGCGCTCCCAAATGCTCCCCATTATGCAGCCTAATTGTTTCTCATGAAGCTGGGCGAGAATGGTATCTGCAACTGCAACTCCAACTGGTGTCCCAGAGCCCCAACAACTGACTGGTGCATATTGCATCATCTCCTACAGATTCCTACCTTCATCAATCACCTCCTCTTCCAGGCTAAGTTTCATTGGTGTCAAAACTAGTCGCCCATAGTCCCAGACCCGTTCCTCCAGGATTTTCCAGGCCTGATCAGGCCTGGCCCAGGAATGAACAAATGGACCTCCGTTGCGTACACCCCCAGCCTTATTCCATCTTATTCCATTTGTATCCTTTTGTTAGGTTGGGGGGATGGTAGATTGATAGTTATTACGTGATTATATATATATATATTCACTGTGAGCGGGATCATTGATCCATCACATTTCATCATATACCTTCAGCACATCTCTCCCATTTGCCATGACCCCCCGGAACCAATGTTTAAAGATCCTGCCATAACATCTACCGGTTGCCTCCGAATGATCTGGGCGTTTTCTCCGCACCAAAAACGCGCTTGCAGCTCGGACGCGGGAACTCTTGCACATGTTGCCGCTGATCCCTTGGAAGCTCCTGGGCGCTGCTGGCTCACCCGATTCGGAGCCTCCTTCGGTTCGGGTCAACGGATGTTCACCGGTGACTTGGATCCGGTGGATGGCGAACGGATAAACATGCAAATGGGGTTTGTCAGATGTCTCGAAATAAAGGTTCTCCATACAAGACCCGGTGCCTCCCATTAAAGAAAGTCCAAGTGCGATGCAGCTGAAGGCCCTAGTTCCACGAAGAGATTCATTTGTTGGACATCGTGCAATTATTTTCTTCGGGGAGCTCTTCAGTTTATGCAAGGATGTGGCGGCGATCCAGTTTGACAACATGCGTCACCTATACCCTTATAACTCAATCTTATCACAATCCCACGATCCAAATGGCACCTGTGCGCTCCGAAGTGCAACACTGGTGCATCTCGTTGCCAGCGATGGCCACAACACACCAATGTTGTGCCATGATTACTGAAGAGAAGGGTAGATGAACCCCTGATCGCTGGTCCTGTGCTTCCCAGTCTGCGGATGAGTCGATACCCTCCTGCGACAGCGCGGGGCTCAGTCGATCGAGCGAAAGATATGAAGTGAGGCGAGAGACGGCGAGGCGAGGAGATGGTGGAGATTCATTGGGTGCAAAAGAGCCTCTTCAGGCGAATTTTGCTTGATGTGGTTAGTGACGGTTAGTGTTTGTCATGAAAGGAGGGATATGCGGGGACTCGGCGAATAGACAAACATGAACAGGTCAACCTACCAGGGTCAACCATCCTGTTTTGACCATTTGTATCCATTTGTAGCAAGTCCTGAGGCAGCAGCTTCCTCTGATCCAGCTTAAACTGATCCGTCAAGGCTTCCAAAGAAGCTGCAGCGATTCCACGTGCTTCCGCCATGCTGGCGAGGACGGTGAAGTTCCTGGGGCATGCAACAGGCACCGTGGGACCTTTGGATCTCGTCGGCGGAAGAGAAGCACAAACACCATCACAACCATCATGAATCGACGAATATCTTCCAAAACACCTGCTCCTGATATATATATATATATATATAATCTTTCAAACATGAAGGGAGGTCTTTGACCATTGAAGTCATCCACAACAACCCCAGGCCCCAGCGCCTGCGAGCTGCCTTGTTCGCTTGAAAAACCCTTCAGGGGGGCCCGTTACTCCCAGCCCAGCCCGTACTCCGGCCGGCGTCTACGGCGCCACGCGTCCGGATCTCCAAGCCGAAACAGTGTGCCAACTTGTCGGAGTGAACTTTGGTCCAGCTGGCGCAAATCTTCAAGACCATGCGGTCTTGGATCAAGTCTTGAACCTCGGAGACGCGTTTGCCACCCACACGTGCTAACTGCTAACGGGGCTGGAGAGGCGTGTTCAAGGGCGTTTTTGTGCCCAAGCAGCGAATGGGCAGTGAACCAATCTGTGAGTGGACCAGATTCAGATGCCCAGATTCAAATTCAAATCGTTCAAATAGAAAATACCCGATTTGAAATGATTTGAAGCGTTCCAATTGCACAAAATAATCATCCAAATCCAAAGATTCCGCCCCAACTCACTTACTGTGCGCCGAAGACTCTGCACAGACTCTGGCAGGCCAGCATGTCATGTCTCAAAGTCAGGAACCCTGAACCGACATGAATGAGAAACCAACATCTTTTCGGGTGCAGCAAAGTTGAACAGCTGTAGGCTAAGTAGGTGTCTCAAAACTTGCCAAATTCCCAAACCCACACAAAATAATGCAAGATCTGCTATCAAGACAGGAACCTTGGACTCCCAAAACCATGTCGCGGCCTCCAAGTGGCAATGATGGGCAGCCAGTGTCCAGTCACGTGTGTCCGCATGATGATCCTTCCTTACAACACAGCAGAATGTCACTGTGCAAACCGTGAACACGGATTGATTTCCTCTCCAACAAACATGGAAGTGGATGGCACCCCCTGTTTGGTATTCGGATGTCATTGTGTTTTTCATCTTTGTCCAACAGCCATGCTGTCCACGTGACCATGATTGTTGGAGGGAGGGTACGAGTACCCACCAACAAAGAGATTAAAATTGTCCTTACTTGCCAACATGAAGGCAAGGATCGTTTTGACTTGGGGAGACGTCCAAAAAGACATATGAGTCTTCTTCTGGTCGACATTCATCATGTTTTGTCAAGTCTCCATAAACCAACACCGCGATTTGAGGGTTATGTTTGACTGCATGATCCATTCCCCAAATGTGCTCTTGAAGATTGGACACTTTTGCAAAAAAAGTCACCCCAAGAAGCGACCTGCAAACCATTGCAAATAACAATTTTCGGCCACTCAACAATGCTGGAAGGGAAACACCATCTGCCAGACGATATTGCTGGTCAACACCTGGCAAGTGAAAGTACACCAAGATACAGACTAAACCCAGGGACCTGCATGCCACATGAAAATGCTCTTATGGCTCTTAGAGCCCCTCTCTGCCTTCTCAGATAGGGATTCACATGCCCAGGAGCGGTTGCTATCCCCGAAGACGAGTGCAGCGATGGCATGATGCTCCGTGCCATGACGCTCATAGTTCCAAAGCCTCAGAGTTCGTGCGATGCGAAAACGACGGATGTTGTGAAAACACAGAAAGAGATAGAAGCAGGACTTCTTGAGACTCAATTCTTATCACTCAAGAAGTATGAGACACTCCAGTAGGAAGAGTAGCCAGTAGCTAAGACTTTCCTTCCACTCAGTAGCTGTATATAACTCCAAGAAGTAGGAGGTGAAGTAGGTATTGTCTCAACCTTGTCACTCTACCTTGCAGAGTGTCCTCCCACCACATGTGGCTTAAGGTCCTTCAGTGGGATCTCAGTAGTCGTTCTGGTCGACGTTAAATGACCCAACATTCTAGTTCCTGCGGCTGGTTCCTGTGGCTCGCTCCTTTCGTTGGTCTGGAAACCCAAGCTCCATCTGAACCACTGAACCCCCGGACACCCAAGCACATGCAAGCTCGAGGAACATGGCGAAGGCTATGGGCTTCCTCTCTTGGATCTTGCCACCCAGCCAGGTGGTGGTAACAAGATCCAGATTGCCTGCCAGATCTCCAAACGACAGGTTGAACAAGGGTCAACGTTTCCATCCCGATTCACGGTGTTTGTTGAAGCAGTGTGTCAAGTTCATGATTTCTGGAAGTCCTTGAAGCATCCCTTATTTTGCATTCAAGATTATTATAGGTTATATATATTTCATCCACATGAATCTCACATGAATGTCAGCAGCTGCCCGCCTCCCTGAAGTTCCCAAAGGTTGATGATGCTGAGCTTTTGGATCTGCCATTTCCGCATTCACACACGTCCGAATGACAAGATCACCATGACTGAACCTCTGGAAAGAACTCCACCCGCGTGTTTTAGAAGAAATGCTCAAACGACGGGATACGACGGGTCGATTCAGTGGGGTGATGCAAAAGTTCATGTGTCACCATGTCCTTGTGTGAAATGTTGCAAGGCCACAGGACACGCTTGCCGTGGAGCAAACACAAAGGTCTCTGCTACAGGACATGCGTACTTCAATGGGTCAATACTTTGGTCAAAGCAACAGAACTGAGGAGTGCCCTTGGTGCTCTTTCTCAGCTCCCATAGATGCGATACCATTGTTTGGCTCTGTCTTTGGTTGGAACACGGTATACTTGGTTCATACTTGGTTCTCTTTGGACATGACTAAAGGGTTGCAAAATCTCTTTCCCGTCTTTCCCAGCTTCTGATTGACCTGTTTCTACCCCGCACATCCCCGAACACAACGCCTGCAGAAATCAGGCCTGGCCTGTGTGTCCGAACCTCCATCCTCCAAGAGATCTTTCCGCCGCCGTGCCAAGGTCCGATGCATGGAATTCTCCGGATGCGTGCCCCCAACTGGATGAATCAGAACCGTGAATCCACTGCAAAAAGGACAGTAAAAAACCATTGAACATGATTGAACCCTCATCAGTCAGTGTCTAGCTCGTCCCCTTCGGAACACACGATGTTTTAAAGCAAGGAAACTCAAGTCTGTCACCTCCCAGTTTGAAGAAGCCCCTCACCTCCTCACGCGGTTGGTTGGGGAAAACTCGACGTTTGACGGGCAGCGAAAGAAGGGCGGCATGTGATCAAGCGGCTTGAAACGCTGAGAGCGCAAACTCAATGTGATTGCTTGTTTGAAGGCTGTAACAATATCCAGTAGATTGAGTTTGACAGCATGCCGGGACAACTTCCAATCTATACTCAGGTACATTGAATAATGACCCTCTTTAAAGGCTTTGTTTCTCAACATCTAACAGATCAAAACACGATGACAAACACAGATTCTTGCAGCGCCGACACAAACAGATCGTCCGGTTCGGCCGATGGTTGTGGACGTCACGAACGTTGCGGGCATCCCCGTGACATCCGTCGGGCTCCCGTCCGCAAGAGTCGTGGCTTGGATTAGTGTGATGGTTCCGAATGGCTCCTAAATGGAAGAATCTGAAACCAAACTCCACATCCAGTTTAAACCAAACCCAGAAACTCCATGAAACTCCACAAGGAATTCAGCCCAACCTTCCAAAATAGTCGCCTGGAAATCCACTAGAATCGGCTCATTCCTTGAGTCGCCCCAGGGCTGAGCTCTCCGAGGTCCCAGCATCCTGCAAAGCTTTCACCACTGAGGGTGATGGAGGTATTCGCCCTGGCGAAGAGTCAACTCCATTCTTCGCGTGTGTGAAAGCACGCCCCCAAATACGGGTCATCCGACCTTTTTGTGAGACTTGTTGAGTCGCCATTCAACATGCCAGTGCCATGAACATGTGTCTTCAACCCCCTGCGCCGACATGCGCCGACCTGCCATGCCAACCACTGGTGCTCGGGGCGGCGTGGTGGGTGGCCGGGGCGGTGGCGACGGCTGGCCACTGTAGGCGCTGGAGGGCAGCGGCGGGGGGCGCTTCAGTTGCTCCCTGGCGGCCGGTGCAAAAAATCACGTGAGTGAGTGATGAGTGGAAATAAGAAATGCCTGAGAAACCACTACAACCTGAGAAAACCAGTGCTTTGCATGCTTTTTGGATCTTTTTGGTGGGCACAATGCTCACATCAAGTGTTCCAAGCTTCTTTTTTGAGAAGGACACAGTCTAGCTGGCCAGGCCAGCTACGAATGGCCAGTTGCTCAACTCAAGATATTTAGTATCTCTATGTATCTCTATGTTGGCTCAAGGTCTCAAAGTGTGTGCTCTATGCATCGAAGGCTGGCTCGAAGACGGACATGGTGACCCTGGTGATCACCCCACACGCAAACGAGCTATGAAGTCATCGCGTCAACCCCAAAGAGTCGAATCCAGCCAACAGCATCAAGACTAGGCACAGCAGATGTTTCGGCTCACAAGATACTACTACGTAAGCTTCATTTTATTTAACTTTATTTCTCTCCAGAGCACGCCAGGAAAACTTTGAGAGAATCTCGATCCTTGCGTGTGAAGAGAGGCACTCAAACTGTGAACAAGAACATGGGAAGCAACCTCTTGCAAATAAGGCTCCCAGGTCTTTTGGCGACTTCAACGCCCACGCCACGCAATCCATTGAATGTCTTCAGTGCAAGAATAGAGGTAGGTGCACGCCTCGTGTAGCTCCCGCCTCTGTTTCCTTATGAGGCACGCCCAAGTGTTTCATGACAACGTTCCATTGCTTTCGGAAAGCACTCATCGAGCTGGGAAAAAGCTTGGTACCCAAAGGCAATCTACAAAAAGCCTTTCAGCAACTTGTATAATGCAAAACCTGGCGGTCTTAGGGCCACGAATCCTAAGGACAAGTGCAGGGCAGTCATACCCAACATCTTTTGGGAAAACCAGGTCAGCTCGAGTTAAAGCCAGCATCTCAAAAGAGGTATGCAACATAGCCCCAAAACCAAGGAGAACAAGACCAGCCCAACAAAGCCAGTTCAAAAGGGCAGCGAGGCAGACTGTGATCAACGCAGGAAGCACAGACCGACGTTGCCCTGGTTCATCCAAATCAAGCCAAATCCTGGTCTTGATTTCAGCGCGTGTGAAAGTGTGCTGAGGCCTTTAGAACTTGATGTCTTGATGAATTGGAGCTCAGCTGGAACGCTTTGGTTGATCATTTCGAGGGGCTGGTGTTTGCCATGTGCTGCTTTGAACAGGGGCTTCCACGCTACATTTTGGTTGTATGCGACCACCAGAGTACAGGAGCAGTTTCCGTTTTGTCGTGCTGGAAAGTGCTACTCGCAACCGCCGCAACCACACAGTCAAATCTTTGAGCCAAAGGAGGCGCACAGCTGGGCATCAGGACAGCGCGACCACGACGTGCCAATAGTGACTCTGCTGTCAAGGATATCTACAAAGCTCTGACTTGGCCATGGACTTAATCCAGGGCTTATACGGTTGGCTCTCGTTCACATTGATGTGACCTGAAGTCCGGTCCTAAATCTAAACCTGAAAAGCTCACGGAAAGGGAGGCTTTTGCAGATCCCAAGGTCGAGGCTGCACCCGCGACGCTCCACCGAACTGAGGAGCACTCTCTTGAGGTCCTCCCAGTCTTGGTCTACAGGCTCCGCAGTCGCGGATTTGAAGCAGTGGAGCAGTTCCGCAGTCCGGTCGGCCAAAATGGCCGGCCGGGGCTGACTGTTGAGACTGACTTGACCATGCCCTCCAGCTGCTGCGCGCGATCCTCAAGAGCTGCCACCGCTTCCGACGACTTGTGCTCTGGTGCTTGAAGCTGTGCCCATTCGACCAACCGCTGGATCCAGGAGATCAAATGGCATATATGTTTGTAGAATCTAGCAGCCCAAACTGTAACGATGTGTTTAAGTGTAGGACTACACAACATTGCAGGGCTTGCTCCCATTGCCGCCCACTAGCAAGTTCAGGTCAAGAGATAACCCATCTGCCATGCAGTGTATATAACTATCATGGTGCTTGAAGATGTGCCATGGGCAAAAACCATAAACCCAGCTAATGACCATGCTAGTAGGACCCAATTATTGTGACTACCGTGACAATATAAATCACAGGCCAGCAAGGCTGCAGCATCTGCACCTAGCACGTCCACTAACCCAGCAAACGTTTGGGACATGACAGCATCATGTAGTGTAATGACATCATACTACCAATGCATCCCACTTGTGGCACTTGCAACAACTTGCAACACATGCTATTTGGAAGACCTTCCAGCAAAACCGATTGTCCGAGCAACTTTAGAGGATTGAAGAGGTATGTGGCTCTGCCACTTTCCAAAGAATAGAGTATCTACGTACTGCCGCCTCCTCCTCAAGCATCTCGCACAATTCCAGCATTTCTTGAGCCTGCGATTGGACGTCGGCTTGACCACTGCGGACGGTCCGCGTCTTAGACGATCTCATCACCCCGTGGATTCACATGACATCTCTGTGCGTCGGTGCCGCGCACCACGTCGCAGGATGCAGGATTTCTTCCATCTCGATCGGCGGATCCAAGTGTTTCTTGTGCTTCTCGAACGTGACGAAATCAGCTTTTCGACTCGCCGAAGCACTACAGGTTCTGTTCATGTTTGGTCTCTCACGTCCATCGCACCTCTTTTTGCAGTGACACTTGCATCTGCTGAAGCTCCTGACATGAGTCGTTTTCGGATAGTATATACTTGTCTGAAATCAAAGGCGATCAATCAGTTCATATTATGGAGATTTCGGCATGTCTGATCTTTGCAAACTGACCTACAATAGCTTCATTTAAAAATTTTCCAGATTGACCAGCTGTTTGATTGACTTGTCTCACAGCAAAAGCTTCTTTTCCTAGTTTTGCCAAGTAAGTGAGAAGAGGCAGTTGGCAAATCCAATTGAGCAACTCGGGGAAATATCATGAACTTAAAAGTCAATCCTTATGATTGAATGCAGGCGTTGAAAAAACTGACATTCTTAGCACTTTTGGATGCTGTTGTGTGGGTTCCAAAATGCATCGCTGCTGTGGGTCCCATTCGGAAACATGTTGCACCTTAAGAATGCAATTATGATCCAATATTTTTTGCAGGTATATAACTCGCTCAAATGGTTCATTCCAATCAAGTGATTGAACATAATGAAGGATGACTTTGTCCAAAACAGATCAACATGGCTTACTTCAGAACTTCAGGATCCTTGAAAACTTGGGATGCCTCTTAATGAACTCTTTCACAAGTCTAAAGAAATGGCTGCGGCATCACGTGGAAGTGCCTTCGCACCAAACCCCCCAATGCCGTGTGACCTGCTTTTCGCAGTCCCGGAAGGCCTGAGAGTTTGTGAGCCCATGGGCCCCACAACTGCAAAGGATGACTCCAGAGCGTATCAATTCCATTTACTGTCACTTCTCTAACAAACAAACTCAGACTCCAAGCCCTGTCCAATCGTTTCTCAGGCTCAAAAAGCGTTTTCTCACTCCTGTTTGCTATCTGGCCCGACTCGCACAAACCACAGGTCAAAACTTCGTTGAATTCTTTGTCCCATTGCATTGTTGTAACCGCAGAATGTCATCAAAATTGTCATACGCAGGCAAGTGCATGAGCACCCTTTCGTGAAACATCCCTTTCAAGAATGGATGCTTTCCCCAACTCCCGATGTCCTGATGAATTTATGTATTGAAAAAGGCCCCCCTGCTTTGTTCTCAACTTCAGCAAAGTCACCTGGAGGCAAGAAAAGTGGGTGAGTTCCAAACAGCTCCAATTTAACGAGGGGATGAAAGGGAGGGGGCCCACTTCAAAGGACATTCTGCGCAGTTTAGCATTTTTCAAATCTCACAACGATTTCTTCAACATATAATACGTATGTTCGGAGATCGAATATATAGTTATATATATGTTCAAAAATATAAAACTATATACTCGAACGCATCCTTTTGGACCCGTGAAGAGTGGCCCGTCAAACATGGACAACTGATGACAAATGTATATAGCCCCCTGTGGAATTACTGGTGTACCTTGAGATTTGATTCGATAGTTATTAAAAACACCAGGCTCCGAGGGCAGTTTGCCCCACTATAGAATCAAGTATCAACCTCCTGCAGTGCTAGAAACAAGTCTGGAAACATATTCTCTATAGAATCAAGTGCCTCAGGGTATGGGTTTTCATGATCAGGAAAAATTGATAGCAACTAGACGACGAGTGGCCCGAAAGCATTTTTCATCACGTAGGAAATCAGAGTGCGAGTTATCCGGTAAGTGTGTAGTGAGAAGTGTTAAGTCGAGTGAGTTGAGGTAGTGTGTGGGTTTCTGTGCGTGTGTCTATGTCCGTGTGGAAACGAGTCTGCGTATGTGTGTGTTCGTGGAAGTTGAGGGAGTGTGTGGGTGTCTGTGTGCGATGCGGCCTCCCAAACCCCCCACCAGCGGCCAAGCGGTGACAGCCCAGCTCATCGTCGTGAGCATTTGGGCTGCTGGTAAGGGGACAATGGCAGCCAGCGTGCTGGCTTACCCACTTCAACTATGATGGCAGCCAGCGTGCTGGCTTTGCCATCTGGACAATGGCAGCCAGCGTGCTGGCTTACCCACTTCAACTATGATGGCAGCCAGCGTGCTGGCTTTGCCATCTCAACAATGGCAGCCAGCGTGCTGGCTTACCCACTTCAATTAGGATGGTAGCCAGCGTGCTGGCTCATACCCACTGCAACTATGATGGCAGCCAGCGTGCTGGCTTTGCCATCTGGACAATGGCAGCCAGCGTGCTGGCTTACCCACTTCAACTATGATGCTAGCCAGCGTGCTGGCTTTGCCATCTCAACAATTGCATCACCACATGCCGCACTGCAGACTGAACAACAACGTGTGAATCATCTGCCTCTGGTCATCCTGGTTGACGCTGAAGAAGTGGTCGTCAACAATGCCAAGGCCTCCCAAACCCCCCACCGGCGGCCAAGCGGTGACAGCCCAGCTCATCGTCATGAGCATTTGGGCTGCTGGTAAGGGGACAATGGCAGCCAGCGTGCTGGCTTACCCACTTCAACTATGATGG